CGGCACGCTGCCTTAGTCAGGCTGAGCAGTAAATTAGGCTCTTGCACCGTAACCAACGGGCTTTTTGCCTGGTCATCAAATTGCCTATCAAGATTTAACGGATTTAAATACACGCTGTGTGATTATTTTTAATGCGTGCTCTGGGAGGGCGCACAGAAGTCGCAAGCTCTGGGGCAGGACGCTGCTCTCCAGGACTCCCAGCCCAGGGACGCCGGTTCCTCTTTCCCAGCATATGGCCACCTGGGATCCCTGGGATCCCGCAGTGGGGCTGTTCCCGGCCGGGTTCCACAGCCACTGTACAGCATCAACACACGAGATCTGGTCAGACTTCAACAGGCTCCGGCTCCTGCCTACACCAGGGAATGCTCTCACACCTTCAAACACACGCGGGCCCTGCCCAGGCACAGGGCTGATCACACCTCAAACCTCCTCCTGCGCCAGTTCTGTTTCTCAGGCACACGCTGCCCCGTCCCAGGAATAAACCCAGCGTCTGAGCTTCATCCGTCTGTAACTGGGCTAAACTGGCTGTTCAGGAATAATCAGGTTAGCGTGGACACTAACGAAGGGCAAATCTCGCCTCAAGCACGTCAAAGGAACAAAAATAAATACTGAAACAGGAGGCAAAATTAAAAAAAAAAAATCTTCAAAGTTTAGATCAATTCTTAGAAATAGAGAGCTTTTTCGTATTATATTTGAGAACAAAAATCTTCGCATCGCTGCTGCCTTTAGGCTGTGTAACGCTGCTTTGTTAGCGTTAACATCACTTCACCGTAGTCAACAGGCAAAGTGGAGCCTTTCAGGTTTCTGTTAACAATTAGAGACTGAAGAATTTTTAAACACAAATTCACTGACTCAGGGAAAGCAAACTGACTTAGCAAGACTGCAGCTTAGCATTGCTTTGCACTAGTGTTTCTGAGCCCTTGCACGCTAACTAGTTTTCTAACAACTCTTACCTAAGGTACAATAGTTTTGCTCCACAAGCTGCTAACAGAGAACAGTTTGACTCATATTCCAATTGCTGTTCCGGAACTTCACAGCGCTGCTCCTGTGAAGTACAGAGCAACTTTCTGAGCAGGTATGAGGTAGAAATCGATATTCCTGTTCCACTGCATTAACAGAGACTTTTAGCGAATAAACAACCTTTTCTAGCTGAAATAAACTGCTTTTCAGGCAACATTGCATTTTGGTGTGGGCTTTGGGGGTTTTAATACACGTGTAATGCTGGCTGGAATTGTGACAAATGGATTACAATTTTGCTGCTGAGAGAAAAAAAACCAACAAACAAAACCCAAAAAAAACCCAAACCAAAAAAAGCCCATTTCTTTACTGTAGCCATCCAGCCTGGCTCACAGAGTACAGTAAGAAATGACCACCTCGACACTGACAAACCCCAAACCATTCTTCTTTAAAACTTGCAATTTAAGACCATGTGGAACCTCTGCAATACAGACACGGGACCTGACCACGTGGTACGCAGCCAAGTTCCAAACAGTAACGCCATTAAATCTGCAGGCACGTTTTCTTCCATTGATTAATTTTTTTCCCTACCCGCAAGGGAAACTAACAGGACACCTCTTCACTTATGAGAAGACATTCAAAACCATATCACAGTATCAGCATGTGAATATAGGACGGCTTTCGATGACAACATTTTACAACTTGCTAAATACAATCTCCCTGAAAAATAAAAGTTACTGGAATACATTATCATCAAGCCTGGTCATCCAGGTCCTGTTTGCAACTCTGCTGCTGGTTTAATGTGGGACTTGTAGCAAAATAGTTACATCTGTTTCCCCATGTGCAAGTTGGCAGCTACCAATACTTCTCTTCCTCATACAGCTGAGGGGACACAGAATCGAGCTCTGGTGCAGAAGAAGAGACATCTAGTGAAGACAGTTACATCATGGATTAACTTTTCTGTTTGTAAAGTGCATGGTGTAATCAGCATGTACCAAAAGGAAAAAATGGACTAAAACTGAGCCCTTTGAAAGAGATACAGAGTGAGAGCAGAATGTCTTGCACTAAGGTTATGTATTTAACAGTTTTACATGAAATATTTATATATAAAAACTTTAAGTGCTTTTTCTCCAATTTAAAAATCTAAAGAATTCAAAAATAAGGCATTCAATATTTGAAAAAGTACAGATTTACAAAATGTGTATATTCTGTCATGAAAACTCCACACCAACATTATACACTTGGAAAAAAATACAAACAGGATATATTACAAATTTATGTAGCAATAACTTAGTTCATACCATGCAATAAAAAGTACGTTAATCAAGATACACAAGCGTTTAAGTTTCCTAAACTGGAGGGCTTAATTTTGGTTGCAAATGAGTTTTTATGCAAATTCTTAGAACTGTGGCACTTGAAATTTCTGGTAGCCTTTCTATTGAGAGTTAAATTGTACATAATGATTATGAGGATGGAGAGTAACAAAGCAGCTGTTACGAATCATTCCAACTTTGTTCGACAATAGCTGAAACTCTTTTCTCATATTCACGCTTGTTTTCCTGATAAAGTTGTGCCGCCTGACTGTTTGCTGGACTGTTTGGATTAGGTTCATCAAGCAGAGACTGTAAAAAGGGGAAAACAAAACGTGAGACAAACCAACACGTTTTAAATAAGGGAAAAAAAAAATCAATTTGCAGCTTTCAAATCACGTGTGTTTCAGGAGAAAAACGTGACTCAGAAGAGCCCAATTGAAAAAAACCCAACAACAGTTAAACTCATGGTTAGGCACCCATAATTACACTACTGAACCTCAAATTACACATTGCGGAAGCATCAGCACTGTACATTTCTAGGTTCACAAACCTAACAGATACACGGTCATTTGTGCCAGTTAGCAGCACAATACTAATTGATTATTTGGTAATTACACAACTTTTGTCATTCAGGACTAAAGATGGAGCTTACGATGCTGCCTACAAAACTTCCCTGTAGAAAAATAAAAACAATCACAGGAGGAAAAGTGTTCAATTTTGCCGTGCCAGACCATTTTCACTTATTCTGAGTAAAGCAGATTTCAGCAACCTCGTCTCCTTGATGACTTCACAGGGCAAGGCTTCATGAGAAAGGTTACAGCGTTTCATACACTAGGCAAATTTCTACATCTGACCTCCCATCTTGACTAAAAGCAGTTTAAAAGGAATCCAAAGCAGTTACTGTTTTCCTGTAAAAAATATCTAATGGCAGTTTTGTACCTCAAAATAACTAATTACATAAGTCAGCACCTTCACCTTTATTTGATCTAAAAAGCAACCACTTAACTCAGAAATTTGAAGTCCCCCTCAATATAGATACGTGCTAGCCCCACCACTGAGTTGCATATTCTAGAATACAGACTAGCAACAACATAATTTGCTAAAACAGATGTGAAGTTACCTGAATTGAAGTTAAAATAGATGAAACATCGTATGTTGGACTCCAGCGATTCTGAAGAATATCTAAACATATGCTACCATCCGCATAAACTGCAAATACAACATAGATATCATTTAGAAACTATAACATTTATAGTTTGTTCATTACATACTGTTCGAGGCAGGGTTACTGTTCCAATTCAGTCTGTGCTTAAATTAATGCTTTAGGGAAGAGGACAGCAGTTATGTCTGACAATCTTACGTAGTTTGACACTTGTATTTTGAAGATGTATCCCTGGAAGTAACAGAACACTTAAGAAGAAAAGAAGGAAGGTCTAAAGATTACGGTAGACCTGGTTTCTTACTCCTCTCGTGTGATCGGCCCAGCTACACACAGAGGTGAGGAATTCACTGCAGGAGTGGAATCCACTGCACCAGCCAAGCATCTCAGGGTCTGAATGGACTCACATGCGAAGGGAGGGAGTTCTTGCCCCGTTTTCACATACTCTACACTCACTATGAGATACCCTAAGGCAGACAACAGAAAATACTGAAAAGTGTGCCTGAAATCCTGCTTCTGCCTGGATACCTATCAGTAGTCTTAATACCAGAGTCTGTACGAAGCCGAGATTGGCCAAACTCCTACACCCCAGTTTTCCAGCTTGTTCGTGCCAACAAAAAGCAACAAATTACAAAAACTGTCAGAGGCATGCAGGAATCTGCAACCAGAATTGCCTTTTAAGCCAACCTAAGTGCAGCTGCTGCTGAAAATGCTCACAGGCTTTGCTACTGAGGCTATATATTGATTAGAAAGAGACAGATAGCTGCTCCTTAATAGCATCATAATTCTTAATTTTTCATCAAGCAGTTGCTGTCCTAGACACCGACTTGGGAGGTGGCAATGGAGAGAGATGGAGAGCTGTAAAGCATTCTGGAGCTTTGCAGAATACATGACCACACTATAATATTTAATGGGTATTATGGCTAAATAAAAATGATTTACTCACCATTTGGATGGAACATTTTTGATAAAAACCTAACAGTTGGAGGCTTATTTGGGTATTCTTCTGAAAATTCTATTACTAGTTTAAAAGTACCTGTCCAAACAAACATAAATGCAATCAGATAACTACCAACAAAAAACCCCACAAAACCACCTTCAAGAACATATACAACTTAAGTTAATTTATGTGCTCCATGATCAGTATTTCTTCTCACTGTTACATAAACAAACAAGACTGAGTCTGGTTTCTTTTCATATATTTCAAATGATAATGGAACTATGGAACTACTACTTAGTGACAGTAATAAACCCAGCAGCAGCAGCTAGGTAGAAACTTGGAGGCTCACTGTATACGTGGCAAAGGTAGCTAGATCCAACATCAATTATCCCACCACCCTCCCCCTTTTCTGTGAATCGATATGCCGGTTCCAAGGACTTCAGTGACTTTAAGGTGTTTCATTAAGACTGTGGTGCCAGCAAAGAAACATTGGAATTTCATAATCAGCAAGCTCTGACTTTGGAGCTCATGACTGATTCACTGAAAACCTTTATTATGGATCAGTGAATAAGTTACTGTAACTCCTCCAGCCCAACAGAGAGAAAAACCCATCTGCTGCCAATTACTGCAATAATACTATAATTATTAAACTCCTTATTCCTCATATGCCTAAGGGTGGTTCATTACACACCAACTTTCATGTTTATGTACAAATTTGGTATTCTCTCCCCCTCACTGAGTTCTATATTCAGAACAATTCAAGATTTTTCACCTGTTCTTCATTAGGAGAAGAGAGATGAATCAAACATGCCACAGAGATGAAACCAGAAAAGCACGCTGTCTTGCTGTGCTTAGCTCTGGAGATGTGAAAACACATCTGGCAGCACGAGACCAACTTCCCCCACTAAAAGCTCTAGTGTTCTATGCATAAACAATTGCTTTGTAGCTTTCTAACCAACCATCAACCTCTACGACAAGACGCTGCTTACATCAAAATACATATTTTTAGAGCCAACACCACTTTACTCCTTCACCTGCTTGGTTTGTTCCAAATTATATACAGATAACATCTATTATTTCTTCAGAGCAGAACAATGTTAATACTGGCAATATTTGTAAGAATGACAGAGGACATAAAAGTTTGCTGCTTACCATCTTCAAAAGGTGTCCCTTCTGGCCTGAAAGGTTTTAAAAATAAACTCCAGTTAAAAATCATCATTACCTACTTCTAAACAGGCACAATAAATTTATATATAGGTAGAGGCAACAATTTAAATATTTAGAGAAGCATCCAGAGGCAACCTCTGAGAGCTTTGTCATATCTAAGACACTTCCCCATAACCAATCTGCTAGTGGAGATACCTACTTTATCATCATCCCAAACAATACATGTGCCTTAGGTAACTAGATTGGAATTAACGAGCAAATTACTAGCAAGCATGCTTCAGTTTTATGAAAGGATACCGAGCCAGTTCCTGTTCTGTAGGATACGTAATGTAACTTCCTAGACAGAACCTGTACCTCGTTCCACTGGGAATCAATCCAATCACTGCTAATACATCTGGATTTAATGGCCAAGAACATGCGGCTCTTAGGTAGTTTAAAGAGCAAGCCTGCTTTTTCATAGCCCAACTCCTACACAGTCTAACCTATTTATTAAGCCATATGCAAGCTTTATTCAACAAAGATGATGAACAAATTTTAATTTTTTTTCTGTCCTTTGCATTCTGTATTACCACTGAAAACAGATTTTTACTGCAACAGCACACTTAGTCATTTTTCTAAGTTTCCTGACTTTATGTACATAAAAGAATCATCGTAAAAAACAAAACCCGGGTTTTATTATATTTAGCCCTTTGATACAGAATTTTATAGTGGTCAAAAACTCTTACCCAAATATAACTGCATTCCATTGCATTATATTATTCTCAGATGGTGCACCACTGACACCCACAGGAGGGTCTTCTTGCAATCTACGAATTACAAATATAGAATGACAAGCTTTATATAAATGAAATTCTTCCACCTGCAAGTAGAATTTAACAGTAATATCCAGATTTTGCAAGTATTTTCTCAAAGTCAGAGAATACACAAAGCATTACATGCAGATTATCAATACTCTAAAAGCCAAACCACATCAAGGTTTTTCTCATGTATTACATCAACGCACTACAACAGCCCAACAGGTTAGATTAAGTGTGTTGGGAGCGAAGCATTAACTCTAAGAATAATTTAAAGCACCACGTACAGCTGGGATTTACAGTACTACACAACAAACTATGAAAAAGCAATTGCTGCTGGCTGCTACAATGAAGAGAGCAAATTACAAACAGGAGCTGAAAACCAGCCAGTGACACTTACACAGCGCACTTGTGGGGACTAAGCGCAAGGGATTCTCAGTGGAGCTTCTCCTGCATTCTCAGATCCGTGCACGCAATGCAGCTAAATTTGGTATAAGCCTATTTTGACTGGCAATCCGATTGCTTCAAAAGGGAGCAACTTTGTGTACTGCTCCCTCTTACCGCTTCAGCAAATGTGTTTATCTCTAAAGTAATTGTTGAAGCATTTAAAATTCTTTTTAGTTCCTTAATCCTCGGACTAGGGGAAAAGCACATTACTTACTGAAAGCCACATAAACTTGGATCAGATAAATATGTATTGCAACCAAAGATTAGGATCCAGATACCCAGCTTCTGCGTACCAACGTTTCTGCTTAAGGACCACCCAAGACCCTGACCAACACAAACCAGCAAGCCCTGATCCCCTGATGAGCAATTTGGCCCATCAACCCCCTTCAGTGACAGCTCCTACCCACCCTGCCTATTCAGCATCTTGAGTTATGCAACAGTCAAGAAAGTTAAGTGACTGCCCTTGCTTCAAAAGCAATTCTTTAGCATTAACATGAGGTCTGACCACATCACAGTACAGCGTTACGAGCAAGTCACCACCGAAAGCCCTACAGACTGAGGGACAAACTCTAACTATACGTCGGTGTGTAAACGCAGATTTATTCAGAGCTGACACTGATATACAGCCGGTCCATTCTCCTGCATTTGCACTGCTTAAGTCTGTGATAAAACTGTATGTGTACATGGACGCTGAGCAAAGACATTACCCTACAGAGACAGCCCAGAAGCAGGGCTCGCTCTGCTTGCAGCTCAGATCTCCTCTGAACTCTGTGTTTACATCCTTGCTCTCCAAGCACGCACAGTTCAGACAACTTAGTACCAACAGCATAAACCACCTACTATTTTGGTCAGGGAGAGCAGGAACGGGACTTCTTCCTACGTGACAGCCAGCCTGCATGCCAATAATAATGCCTAAGCATTCACCCTGACAAATGTATCTGAAGGATGGCTTTGGTTTTTAGATCAATTTAAAAGCTCACAGGCACCCTGCTGTCAAAGGGTCTAACTACAGAAAGGTTGTGGCAAGGACTGGAAATTAGACTGATCCAAACAGGGCTTGGAAATCTTTAACAGCTAGGGAAAATGTAGTATTTGTAGCCCCTTTTCCAACAGCAAAAATAAAAAAAAAAAAACCACTTATTTTTCTGTTGGTTTAGTCAAACAAGCCCCTTTTCCAACAGCAAAAATAAAAAAAACACCCCACTTATTTTTCTGTTGGTTTAGTCAAACCAATTAGAGAACACAAGATCTTCTGATTTTGAAGACAGAACTGTTCTCTCTTCACTGCTCTTGACAATCACAGTATGCAAAAGGAGTTTAGCAAAGTGAATTAGAGTTCACGGCACATGGCCTGCTTTTTCAGTATGAAGTACAACTAACACAAGACTGCACAAAAATATAACAGTAGGAAAGAGAAAATTAAGAAAACTGACATGAAAAAGTTGCATACATGTTGGGGTATTAAAGTTATCATATACTTGTAAGTAAGTTTGATTTACTTTGTGTACTTTACTCCACAGCTTTCAGGTCTCCGCTCCACCTGAAATTTCAAAGTTATTAAACCAGTCCTTCTAAGATTATAAAATCATCAAAACCATGTCTGATTACAATCTTGAAAAATTACTTAGTTCCTCATCCTGAAAAAAAATAAATCACTGATTCATGTCATCTATGTCATCAAATACAATAAAGAAAGACTCAATGTCCTGTTTTGATTTGAACAGGAATCAAGCAACACCCACTTAGCAAACGCCAACACCCAAATACAACAGAAGAGGTAGGCTCCGCATATCAAAAACGTCCAACTTTTTGTAGATTCACAAATCAGGCTTATACCAACGTAGTTTTACATGTGGTCACAGAAAGCAACTACAATACGTGTCAACTGTTTACTGATGTATTTTCAGGTACTGGTATAACATCGCTATGCTAAAAAAAGAGACACTATCAAAGCTGACTCACCTCCAATAACTTATGAGCAACTCCAGTCCAGAGAAATCATACGACACATTGTAAAGCTTACAAAAGAACCCCCCACCTTTTTGCACACTCTCTAAGTGTGTTTACATGTCAGACTGGAAATAAATTATTCTAGAGCCTGTGGCTCAATCATTAACATTTAAAAGAGTGCAACTAATAACTGCTTCTTTAGCAGTTCGTATATATTATACAAAAGACGCCCCATGATTTAAAATCTTAGAATAGCATGTGCATAAAAACATTAAAGGGCATTTTGCTTTTTATTACATACAGACAAATGAAGTGTTTGCTAATTCTTTGCACTTCATTTTTAGATGTCCATCCCGACTTGTACTTATTTTCAGAGACTGTCAGCCCAACAAGCCTCAAAAGCATCTACAGCCTGGTCTGTTCAGAAAACTGGGCCAAACACCTTCGGTATTCAAAAGCTTGTGCGAGGACAGGGAAGGAGGGGCGGGAATTACGGCACAAACATTCGGCCTCGGCCAGCTCTGCACCGCCGGGCCCTCCTAGGGCAAGGGCACCGGTAAGATACTCACAGCTAACCCCGACAGCCTGAACCTTCCCTG